AGAGTGCAGTGTAGTAACGATGAAATGTGCAATTTTCCTCTAGTTCTTAAATGCTTCCTCCCCTCCACTACCATGATCCCAATTCTGCCTTGCATATCTGGCTGGACTGGAGGATGTGCACTGGCACAGATAGGAACTGGAAATGCGGTGAACCCAGGACAGATGAACCCCCCAGGACCAGTGGAGAGGGTGGCGATGGTGGGAGGGTGGAGGGAGGGTGAGGGAGAAAGGGGGAACAGATGACAAGGTCTGCATATGGCCTCCTCCCTGGGGGACGGACAGCGGAGAAGTAGGTGAGGGAGACATTGGATGGGGCAAGATATGATAAAATAATAATAATTTATAAATTTGTGGGGTGAGGACGGAGTGAGGAGGGAGGGGAAAAATGAGCTGACACCAAGGGCTCAAGTGGAGAGTGGGTGTTATGAAAATAATGAAGTCAACATATGTACTAATGTGCTGGACACAAATGACGTATGTACAGATTGTGATGAGTTGTATGAGCCCTTAATAAAATGATTATATAAAAAAGAGAGATTCATATACAAGAGCAATTGAACATTGAGAAAACAGCCCAGCCCAGTCCAGATCAAGTCCATCAGTCCAATATTAGCCCATATGTCCGAAATCAATCTATAAAGTCCTCTTCAGACTCATGAAACACATGCAATGACGTGAATGTAGAAGATCACAGGCCAGTGGGTAGGAAGTCTTTGGATCCAGTGGCACTGGAAACATCTCAGCTCTGGCAGGGGTCTCTGCATGGCCTCTCCAGCACCCAAGGCTGCATCAGGGTGGGTCCATGTGTCTTGTCAGCTGCTATGTCTCCCAGGATGTGAGCAGAGTCTCCCACCTCCAAGGAGGAAATACTAGAATTCCCAGAATCCTTAGGGGAAGCCTATGTCCACACAGAAGCCTCATTGGCTATGACCTGATTGACAGGCTAGACTCCATCCCTACACACTTAATCCTTAAATTGACAATTATATGACTACCACACATACTGACACGCAATTACAATCCGCAGTTGACATGAAAGCTCATTGGGTAGCAAAGTTCTGTTGGGTCTGACCAATACATAATGTGGGGTACCCACCATTACAGTATCATGCAGAATAATTTCACTGCTGGAAAACGTCTTCCCTACCACCTGGACCCTTAGCAACCATTGACCTTTGTCCTCCACAGTTTTGATGAACCAGCTGCTCAGCCCTTTGCCGGTTGCTCTTTCCCGTAGTGGGATTCAGGGACGGCTCCTCCATGCGTTTTCCCAGCCTCACAGCTCATTATTTCTGACAGTTTGTTTTCCCAGGCACCTACTGATGGATTTCTCGGCTGGTTCCAATTGTTGGTGATTATGAAGAGAGCGGCTATAAATACACCTGTGCAGAATTTTGTGTGGGCATACATTTGCAGCTCAATAGGGTGAATAACTAGGTGCACATTTAGTCGCTGAACTGCGCAGGATATGCTTAGCTCTGTCACAAACGGTCCAACGGTGGTTTCCGATGTCGTTGTACTAGTTTGCATGCCCCACGCAGCTGCAGGCTCGGCATCCTCACCAGCAGTCAGCATTACCGGCGTTTTAGACGTGAGCCATTCTGGTAGAGCGTCACATTTGCTTTTTAGAAATAGTCATCATAGTTTACTTGTTTTCCAGTCTTATTTATGTCCAAGGTCAAGTTTTACGGGAACCTACAAATCGCAGGGTTTCAAGGTTGTGATGTTTTGGAAGTAGATCTGCAGGATTCAACGGCCAACCTTTCCAGGAGAAGTAGTGGGCTTAACCACTGGACACTGGTTCCACATTAGGCTGCTACCCACGAGGCCAGCAGTTTGACAACATGGGGGAAAGGTGAGGCTTTCTACTCCTGTAAAGTGTTACAGTATAAGGTATGGAAATAATTATAATTTATAATTTATCAAGGGGTCACAAGGGTGCAAGGGGGAGGGGAGGGAAAAAAGAGGATCTGATATCAAGGGCTCAAGTGGAAAGAAAATATTTTGAAAATGATGATGGCAACATATGTACAAATGTGCTTGATACAATTGATGTACAGCTTGTGATAAGAGCTGTAAGATCCCCCAATAAAATGATGTATAATAAATAAATAAAGAGTGACAGCCTCAGAAACCCACAGGGGCAGTTCTACTGTGGCCTGTAGGGTCCCCAGGAGTCGGGACCGACCCCAGGACTGAGTTTATTTGTGTGTGTGTGTGTGTGTGTGTGT